TATATATATATATATATATATATATATATATATATATACTCAATAACCTGTCGAACAGTTCGAGTATCTGCTCTCTCGCCTCTTGGCATGTAAGTATGCAGAGAGCATAAAAAACATTGGACGTGGTATGACGTTAAAAAAGTGTTCGATCCAATAAGTCACAACTACCTGATTAAATGCACTGAAAGGCTCTACATCCCAGCATGGATCGACAGGTTTCCGAGAAGCACCACCCACAGATAATCAGTTATATTGAAATGCAATGAAGAGAAAATACAGTGGGGAATCCTATAAGCTGATAACCTTTCGCCGCTGCTAGTCGTCCTGTGCATGGACTCGTTAAGCTATCTGCTCAATATAAGGTAACCAAAGGTGGCGTTCCAACTAATCAAGGAATGCACATAACGAATCATTTGTTGTTTGTGGATGACCTCAAGATCTTTGCGACCGGCAAGGATATCATGAAATCTATGGCGAAATCAGTTGAGAAATTTCTTGATGTAGCAGGGTTAGAAGTGAATTCAGCAAAGTCAGCCACTAACACCGAAGTATATACTGATAAGGTGATACTCTTGGAAGGAGCCCAAGGATATAAATACCCTTAAAATAATGGACAAGACTAGCGCTCCGATTCCAGAAAGCTACGATAAAGTACGAGCAGAGATTTTGGCGAGAATTGAACGAGTAGCCAAAACTGCATTAAACAGCAAGAACTTAATCAAGGTAGTAAGTGATCATGCCATAAGTGTAATAAATTATGATACTGGGATGCTCAAACTGGAAATATATGGAATTCACATCCAACCTTCATGTTTGAAGAGACCGTACCTGCCAAGGGACGAGCTAGGACGTGGGATTCATTGCATCGAACAAAGAAGTGAGCTTATGCTTCTGAAGCTTCATAACGTACTTCTAGAAACGTACACCCATATCTAGCAACAGGGCCGCAATTGTGAAGCTGGAAAAGACTCACATGTCCTTAGCAGTTATAGTGCCCTAACTTCAAACTAAATACAACCATGTACAAAATTCAACCGTCGAAAATGTATTAGCAGTCCAGAGAGCGCTTTTGTATAGCAAAATAGAAAAGAAAATTTTTCATGCAAAGCTATATAAGATGCGCAGTAATGAGCTAGCTTTAATGGGCAGATTCATTAATGTGGTTACGATTAGGAAATATTGCCCAACAAGATGAAGTGAGATAGTATCATCTCCAAAACAGAAATACGGTTGGAGCTGAGAAAGTATGTGCCCACAGTGTGGGGAGCGTGTGAGACCATCTAGCAACGCAGTGCGAGAAAATGTTAAATCACGACTATACTAGAGAACACAATGAGGTCCTACGATGCATCCATTTAGAACTCTGCAAAAAGTATGGTCTAAAAGCACTTCCACGCATGTGGAGCAACTCCGTTCAGGAATTCGTCACTAATGAAAACAGAGTCAATACGCGAGTAAGAATTCAAATCAGACCGGACATCCTGTTATTTGATGACATGCTACACGAATTACTCTTGACAGAGGTTCGCATCACTGGCCAGGATAGGTTAATAGCAGTCGATACTGAGAAGAAACGAGAATACGATTTACTGGCTAATAAACTCGGGGCAGAGCTGGAATGCAGAACGAAAATAATTTCGTATGTGATAACTTGGAATGGGTTAGTGACGAACTTCCGTAAACGTTGCGCGAAGGAAATCAGTGTATTTGATCATGTCGAGAATATCCTGTTGATAGTGCTTAAGGAGATGCTCGAAAGCATCTCATTTGATCAGCACTGTGGATTCGCCTAGGACAAAACAACGGAGACCAACACAGCAGAACTGAGCGTAGGACGAGTGCAGCGAGAATTCCAGAATACAATCCAGAGCCAGAATCAATAATGCAGAAAAAAAGATTATCTCTTATGCAGACGAATATATATATAACAGAGAGCCACACAATTTCCCACACTCATTATACAAATCTTTTAAAAAATATAAACAGAAAAGATCCTTCCATACGAAATCTGGTTCAAATTTAGTAATAAATGCAAATTCAACCTCCTCTGTATCTTTAACACGCAAAATTTGTTCCCTTAAATCTGTAAGATCACTGAAAGTCGTTTGTGCTGTAATCGAGTAAACTAATATAAATCCTTGACCATTTTTCATATATAAATCACGCATAGCTGTGAACTGCTCCTAAAATAGAACAAACAGATTGAATGAAAATTTTTCCATGAACTATGAAGACTTCTGGATTTTAAGTTTATGAAATACAATAAAATCTAACAGTGCCAGCAGTATCTAAAATTTCGAGCATGCATTGCTGTCCATCAACTTCCACTTGCTTTCGATAGCTGTCTTCAATAGTTGGATCATATTTCTCCACAAATATACCTTGTACAAATTGTACGGTCTAAAGAAAACGCTGATAATAACAATATAATTCACAAATAAAACTAGAAAGTATTACACGAAACACGTGAACAAGTACTAATTTCAAAAGCATAAGAAGAATAAACATACCAAAGCACTTTTTCCAACGCCACCACTTCCTAATACCACGATTTTGTATTCACGCATTGCCTAAAATTATGAATAACGAATTGAAAGCTAAACACAAATATACCTAGCACAAACTGTTCATTTTGTATAAAGTGGATACTAATTTCTTCAAGATATAAATAAAATGAAGCATTTTTACACTGAGATCCCAAAAATCAAGCACGAATAGTCGTTTATTTTTTGAAAATAAGAAAATAATACAAAATACTTCAATCCAGTCCAACAACAGAACGAAAAATTCCCTAGGAGAAAATTAGCGCAGTACAAATAGAAAAATATTAGATAAAAAAAAACAGAACCTGAAGAGATAACTTCCTCAAAAGTCCAGTAACCACAATAAAATGTATTAACAAATACAAACCTAGGACACAAACTTGAAGGAAAAATATCAATGTCAATATTTTAATATGTATCTACAATTTAGCGGCTATTTTAAGCTTTCGTAAATGAAAATTTTATAAATTTCCGCACACAAGTATACTGCTGAATTATTATTCACCTTATCCTATACTATTTAAAATTATACAAAAATACAAAATGGCATTTAGCAGTTGAGTAATTAATATCATCAAGAATACTACACACAATAATCCACAAAAACATGCATAATTAATTTTTTGGATGTACAATTAAAATTCTAATGTAAGTAAAATTGTTTGGTAATAATCATCTGTAATCAAACAGTTCTGGAAATTTACAGAGTTCCTAATACTCAATTTCTTGTCACTTACATCATACAATTACGGTCTACAAAACAAAGTATCAGATTTCTTCATAAATGTAAGCCTTTTTCAAATTATTTTTAGGAAATCCAAGACAAATGTTCTCGCTCAAACAACATCAGTTACAATGGCTCTATTTACACTATAGTATTTTGAGCAAACAAAATATTACGAGACAACTACAATTAGCATCCTATTATTTGTTAATTAATACATAGCACATATCAGAAAACATCATTATGTTTAGAGAATAAGTAATTCCCCAAACTACTCATATCAAAAATTTATTAGCATGGACATTTCATTCTAATCTAAGGGCATAGAACTGAAGTACGTTAGTAATCAACAATAAATTGAGTAGATTTGTAGTTCACGTAATCAAATATTTTTGAATCTATAAACTAAAACCTATTGAAGTTGCTGCTACCTTTGACATAAAAGACAGTATATTAAAAATACACGTTGATGCGAGTAAGGTTTTGATTTTTAATAAACTGAAAGACATTTCTTAAAAAAGCAGTAAAGAGAGATAATGAAAATTCTAAACTAAAGCAAAAAACAACATATATTATTCAACATATTATAACAACATATCATTATATGAACAACATGTTATTAAAAAGTCGGGCTTGATTTACCGAATAAACATGCCTAGAACAAACATGGACGATGAGTGATGATATGAAAGTGATATATATTACATTAAGATGTAGAAGCTTCCTTCAAGCAGAAAGGACCACAAGTTTTCTATCTATACCGAACAAATACCAAGAAAAAAGTAAAGGAATACTTGACACACATTTGCCAATCACTTTACAACAAATAGCATCACCTAACTATCGCAGAATTCATGCTTCAGGAATTTATGGCCACTATTTCTAAGAAATATACATTTGTGAATGCATGTGTATGCCATTTTCCTATTAAAGTACTACATCGATTTGATTAATAAAATGCAAATATTTTTACCTAATTATTTGTCCTTAATTTGCAGTATGCTGATGTACCATCACATTATACATTGATCAAAACATCATGATTAAAATTTCTATCCCTGCAGATATTAAGTTTTTACAAGCTCAGCGATAACAGCTGCGAAGGTCACATGGGCCATTACCAAAACAAAACTTGTAGAGATATTTCTTCAAGCAACATTTACTGGTAGCACACCGCAAATTTCTTACGTGTTTACATCCCAAAACTGCAAATCAATCTCTTTACAAGCAACCCTCCAACCACAAAAAATTATAAAATATCAGGCAATGGATATGAAATTAAACGCAGCATGATCGGATGAAATCTTTTTTGAATTGATGAAATAGTGCTTAACTCAATAGATGTCATACCTCATTAGATGACTAACTCGAGCTATAAATGAGGTGATTTGACATGGGATGTATGGACACATAATGAACAACAATTCATACAAGTCACAAGCAATAATTACTAGCAATGCACATCTAATTCCTATAGACTAATGAAAAAAGTATGAAGACTTTTTAAACAAATTCTGGACATAATAATCAAGGATGGAAAGTTGCTGGGAGTATATACATGAATAATTGCAAACAATAATTATAGACAATAACAATGTGACTGGCTCAATATTCTATAATAAACGCCGTAGAAATCGTGCCTCTTCCAAGGATAAGACATTTTACAAGGTCTGAGATTACATTTTCAAATTCCTTTAACCACTTACCATTAACTACATATTTAAATCACTTTTCCGATCCTAATGGTACAACACAAGACAAAAATAAACCGTAACCATTGTACCACAATATCAAGACTACTGAGGAAATAAACAGGATACGATTAGATGCCAAAACCAACCGCACAATTATTCACAAATTCTTCATGACAAATACCCACCACATTCCAATTCTTCAAACAGTCGAATTTTACAAAGTTCGCACAAAAGACTAATGATGAATGAAAATCCGTTTCTCTGTATTGATGACTTGCAACTATTATTGCGAACCTATTGCATCATCTCAGATTCATGGTACTTGAGGAGCTTGCATTCTAATTTTACAATAAACCGCTATCTCTAGAAAAAGTGTTAAGGAAAGATCTTACTGCTTGTAAAGTCCTATCATACTTTTTCACTTTCGTCTATTAATAAGTATCAGAACAAATACACGACTCTTCAACACAAATTACTAAGCCTTTATCTTGTTTACACTGGGGTAGACGATAAAATTGAGACATTTCTTGAGAAAGCTTGATTACCTTATCTAGTTTAAATTCATTTGCGGAGAAAAGAAACGACCTCTTCTACAATAACTGTTATTTATTGGAAATACTTGTCTTTACCAACATTTGAAACTGTTAAACATTTACTATGCTGCGCTACTCAAAATCGTCAAGAGAAAAAGGCTTCCATAACTCTCGACGAGTTTCAAAAACTTGAATCAAGTAGAACTATAGAAACCGCAAGAATCAAAAAAATTGTGGTTTGGCGGTGACCTACCAATTGATGTCGCTCCTTGAAGAAACAGTACACTTCTGATCTAAAAAAAGCTAGAATACCGCTTGACTTCACTAATGGTAGAAACAACGGCAAGGAATACTTTGAAAAGAAATACTGAGCATACTTAATTTCAAGCAAATAAATTTTAAGTTTCAAACTCCAATTAGTGTTCATTTTTATTCGCTTATGCAGATAGATACTTGAAGTAAATATTCATATACCCTAAATTCACTAATCTCTTACTTCATTTTCGGCTTTCAACTTCATTTTCTCAAAAATAAAATATGAACACTGACATATTTTTCTCATTAAATTAAGTGAGGCTCAAAACCTCTGTGAAAGCCTTCAAAAAATTCCAGGTAACCTGATAGCACTTATAAAGTAACCTTTCGGAAAAATTTTTCACACGACATTTACTAAAATTATGTTGATTACATCTTCAATGAAATAATCACTAGTTTGTGAGTTCTCTTCATTTCATTAAGCACAACTGATTTCAGAAATATTCTTGAGTCAAAGATATCTGAGAAAACCTGATACCTAGCAAGAGGAATTGGTCAATTTAATGGGAAACCTACCTTTCAATGGCTTTGGATGACATATAAAACCTGCTGGCATGTCAAGTTTCTTGACATACAAAGAATTCTGTTAGTCAGTGCGATGATTTGGACTGCAATCTGGCTTTATATTCTTTTCACTCATTTCCATTACGCTGCTTGCTACAGCGAATCGTCGCCCTCCGCTGACTGGAGATTATCGGAAAATCCTGCTCTTTGGATAAAATTAGTGGAAAATTTGTACGAGGATCGCTACGTCAAATCATTCGGAAAGAGGACGGGAGAGCGCTTTGCAGGAAAAATGTTGGGAAATAATCTACTCGAGAAAGGAAATAAACGAGGTCAAGTTTTCCTATATTTTTGGATTAGAGTAACAACGATAGCTCAAGTAGACTCTTTTATTCTAGCAGTAAAAACCAAATCTAAAGTAAACCAATTAAACCGTTTGCACGAAGATACCCAATATACCTTCCACATGCACCCACCAGTTTTCGAAACATCTTGTCATCAAGTACAGGTAATGACATTATTTCAGGAAGAGAACTTTTCGGTAAGCGTTCTAACGAACAACTCGCTGAAAACATAGACAGTCAAACGGCTAATTCCTTTCCAACAAAAGACCTCACTGCCTACAAGAAAACGATAGATGCTGTGAGCGCAGATTCTCGGTTTCACAAATTATTTATGTACGCTCCTTGGACACACTTAAGATAAATAACTGAAGTATATACATACACACCCACAATTTTATCTTTGGTATTCTTCTGACAAACGGAGAAAAACATTTAGCTTCGAAAAAACGCTATAACATACATTCGATTCTCCACATTTTTCTCCTGATCTTAAACATTCTAAAAAAATGTATCGCTTAATCTTCTACTGTGTTCCAGAGATACGGAAATTGAGATTTTTAAAACCGACATAATAATTCATAACGAACGTTTGACAGAAGTTCAAGCTCAATGCGATTACATCACTCAGGGGTAAAATTGAGAGTATATAGCAACAATTCAAAAAAACCATTTTTAATGCGCAATCCTAGTTGATGAATGAATAATCAGAGGCAATAAAGTATCTAATAAACTTACTGTATTTTAATATCACTGTGAATAAATATGATGAGATAACAGAGAAATCTGCTACACAACATAGCATGAGCTTGAACTACTGGTTAAAATGAAAATTTTACGAAATTATTCAAAACATTACACAGGAAATAATTATAAATGGGCGATCTACGAAAAGATACTTCCAAATTTATAAATAACAGTAGTAATTGCTTCTTTTTTCTAACTTTATTGCGAAATTATTTAAAACATTACACAGGAAATAATTATAAATGTGCAATTCACGGGGAAAGTACTCCTAAATTTATAAATAACAGTAGTAAACTGTTTTTTTCTTCTAGTTTTAAAAATATTTCTAAGTGGTAACTGCGAAAAGAAGATATTTAGACAAAGAAACAAGAGTATGCCGTGAAGTCAGCATGACAAATGCTTAAATAATCTGGTTAAATGAATTTCAAAAAGGGAATTCAGGCGTAATTGGCTTCATCATTAACTTTAAATTAACATCACGTGTGATTTAAATGGCGAGGTCTACAATATAACTTTTTGTCTGATTAAAATTGTTTATAAAATGTAATGAAAAGAAAAGCAAAAGCACCAATGTCCACTAAAATCACTGTGGCTTCAAATCTTTGCTAATTCGGTACGCATGTGTATTATTCCAATCAAATTTAACACCAGTTATGGGTAATTGCCGTCGTAAAGCTTTGAATGTTGTAGTAGACATTTGTTGATAGTTTTCTTGAACAGCATCCTAAAAAAGTCCCAGTTTCGATTTCTATGTACTTATAGAAAAAAGGAGAGATAAAGGGATAAGAAAAAAATAATACTTGGTATCTGGATTCCTCACTCCATATCGCTTTAAAAACGTCTCTAGCAGTCTGAGCCAAATCAGCCTACAAAGGTTTGTTGAATATATCTTAATCAGGAGAAAAAATCACACTTGGTTCTTTTTTTTAAAGCTTTGAACAATGAAAAAAACCAGTGAAAGGAAATGAACAGTCGAATAAGGAATAATGCAAAGTAAACTAACAGTGTACGCTACTTTCGCAGATGCTTCTTTTGTAGATACAAGTTGTACATTACCGTCTTCATAATAATGCACGTGCACTTTGATAATACCTTTGATTTCACACAATTCATTTTTCCCATCCGCAAAAGGTATGATCCACTGCGAACGCCATCGTCCATTCCTATAAATGCGACTAAAAACTAATTGCATTTGAGCAGCTGAAAATCTTGTATGATAATAGCTCTTAATGTCAAAAATTCGTCGTTTAATAGTCTGCTGCTATTTAAAAGAAAAACAGACAACTTCAGATCAACCCACATGATTCATTAAAATAGTTCCACCTTCAGTAAAGAGAAACTAAACTTTTAAGAAGCTATGCTGTTGACACTAGCGATTACTTCGAGGTCTATCATACACTAAACATTAAACATTGATAATTTACCAAAAATTTTTAGGTTGATACCGATGACTTTCGATGCATAATGTCAGTGTCCCTTTGGTAACAAACACCACTGCTAAACCCGTCTCTTCATAGTGACTATCAATATATTTGTCTGCTTCCTATAAAATAAAGAGATATTTGGAAAAAAAAAATGCAGATCTAAATTATCTAGTCAGATCTTTCTCAGATTTCTTGCTTAAAAAAGGAATAGCACTAATATTAGTCGTAAGATCTCCCCAACGCTAAGAACACTGTACAATTAGTATTACTACTGCAAACTAACAGGAAAGAGTACAAAAAATTGCTTATTTGTTTTTTCAAATCTCTGCTTCCAATAAACGTTGGAATATAAAACACCGTCAGAATTCTACTGGAATTGCGAATCATCGCTTTTGATAATGACGAACCTCTTGCAATGCTTTTCGCCAAAATTCTGCACCGATGTCATTCGTACTTTCAGACTGAATATCAATTGCTTCTTTCCGTAAATGCTCATACTTGAATGACTTCCTAGATCTAGGATCGTAAAAACGTCCGTCGGGCATCTCGTTAAATGATGTAATTAAAGTCTGCAACCAGCCTTGATTGACTTCTTGATTTAATGGATTCCAGCTCCTTATTAGTTCAGCTAAATGTCCCAATATCAAATCAGTTACTAAAAGGACTCTCAAAAAGGAGCTTAATCAGATACAGAAGACACACTTAACATTTCTAGCCGAACTTTACCTAGACTTTTGTTTTAAAATTAACAAAGAATGGAAAATACTGCTATTTAGAACAAATCTAATGAATACCTGTTTTTCAACACCTTCAAGTTTAACAGGTATAAATTGTTCCTTGTTATACTCAGCAAATGCTGCTGCACATCCATCTTTTAACAAAGCATCATTATTCAGTAGCATCCGAACATCATTAAAGACCTGACATAGCTAATACTAAACACATATATAACACTACAATTGAATACATATTCTACATTAAAGAAATTTAAATACAGAAGTGGTACTAACATGCAATGATTAAAAAACTTAATTCACTGACTCAGGTATCAAGTAAATAAAATCTTGGCAAAACTGATCAAAAATTTGTATTCCACTAAATGATCCAAGTACGCAATTAAATTAAAATTTTGAAGATAACAAAACCTAACCTCATTAAATTCTCCGGGTGGAGAATGAAGTAGAAAATTTGAAACAATTCGTATGTTATCATTAACACCGACTGCGTTTTCTTCAGCCATGTTTATTTTTTACAATAATTAAACTGCAATAACTTAATAAACTTTTAATAACTATATGTTACCATAACGTGGAAATTGAAAACTGAATACAATTCACAGAAAGCTCTAGTCCCAAACGGTCGACCCAACCACTCAACCTCAAACTACCTAACGTCAATCAAAAATTATATTTCATCGAAGCAATAAAAATCTCATACAAAATAGTCACTACTTGCCAAGTTCGCAATTATTCTGCTTAAGACCACAGAGTTGAAAACCAAATCACAAATATCGTAATTTAATAATGACTTGATTTAACTATGAATAAACGTGAATGTATGAATAATAAGCGTTTAGTGAGGCAATTTTTTTGTTTATTAGCTAAAACAATTGTAACAAATAATTGAGTTGTTGCAGAATAATTGTTTTTTTTTTTAATTTCTTTTTACCGAAAAAAATGAATAATAAACTGCATTATTTCTTCGTTGCTGATTTTATTTTTGCAAGTATTACGCAAAAAATCTCCTCATGTTATCAAATATCAATGAAAAAAGTAAGAAACATAGTGCCTCATAATCTTTTTTATGTCTTTCGAAGTTTTTTTAATCACGAATTTCGAGCTGCAATAAATTGAGGCGTTTTGTACCGAATGTATGACGTGTGAGGAAGTAGTAATGGCCTAATATTTCTGCAGCAGTGTATGACCTTGGTAGTGCAGTGAGCGGTTGGATTTGTTTGGTTAGGGTTGTTCTAGTTTGTAGACTTTTGTAGAATTATGTGTTTGTGTAGTGCTTCTATTACGCAGTTTGTTCATGTTTTATTAACTGATAGCACGTTGAACGTAAGAAACTAATCGTAATATACAATATTTAAACTCATGATAATGGTTTGAAGGATGTATATTTGTAGGTAAATTTGATTAGAAGATGAAGTCACTCAGCTCCAGAGTGACGAACATCGGAAGAGGAAGCTGGGTTAGATATGAAGCATGATTTGGTGGAGCCTCCAGGAATTGACGAGGCTCCGGATATCAGGTATTTCCCCATCAAACAGGATGGGGTATTTAATTTTGTTTACCGTCCAAGGACGGGAATGAAGAGGCGCTCAATGAAGTGTGATTGGAAGCAACGCCTGAGGTGGAATCGCGAAGCGCATTCCTATGCAACACTGGAATCATTAAAGGACGACGCAGTTGGAAGAAATCAATCAAATTTCCGACGTAAGGCGCCGTCCAAGCACCAAATTGGATGAAGAAGATCTATTGGCATAATTGGGGTAACTAGCAGGTTGGCTAGTTCATTTTAATGCATGGGAGGAACTTTCTTTTCATACAAGATTGGAACTCCTGTGAACTGCTCTTTATACACTATTAAATTTTAAGAAGAAAAAGGAAGGGACGTTATTAGTTTCTCTCCCTTCCTTCCAACATTTTCTACAATGGATTTGAAGCAGATTAACAGGGTTACCGATAACGATGAACGACAAAGCGAGGATAGAAAGCAAATGTGAATATTGACCCGCACATTTCAGCGTCTTCGTTACGCATCAACATACATGTGGGAAGATGCTCCACAGATCTGAAGTTAAGCATCTTATTTCGCTGTGGACGTCTTCGAAAACCACATTTGTCTGACATATATCAAGTACAGGAGTTGTATGTTGGTGGAGAGATTCTATTTGGTGGCTGAAGCACCACTTCAGTCACATATTATAAATTCTATTTGGACCGAGTCTTCCAAGTTTAGTTTAAAAGAAGAACAAGCTTCGTGCACAGTTTCGGCTCCTGGCTCTTGATTTCCTTGAAATATTTTTGGCGTTTTGACTCGATAGATGCTTCTTAATGTAGTTTAAAAGAAGCATCTCAATATTCACTAGTGTTTGAGTAAGAGATGGCCGCGCAGAAAAGTCGAAAATCTTCGTCTAATGGTGGATTTTTTCCCTATAAGATGAAAGCATTGTTGAAACCCTGATTCGAAACAGGGTTTGTATACAATATCTTTATGGAAACTGCTCTAAAATTGCCATGTCGACACCTATCGGAGGATGATGCCATGCCAACACATCGGAGGATGATAACCGTGAATTATATCCATTTTAACTTGTGGGATTTGTATTATTAAATTCTAGAGTTCTAACTCAAATTGTATATATTTAGTGAAATGTCTTCTTACATTGTAACTTTATTTTTTACAATAGCGTGACATTGTTAGTGAATTATTGCTTTTTAACATTCATGGGATGTGCTATTATTAAATGAAACTCACAGTTAATAATGTAAAATATTATACACTTTGTTTTTATTTATGTTTACTGTCTTTGTAAAAAATTAATCTGGTGTTTTTGTACAACAAATCTTGTTATTGTAATTTGCTGGCAATTTTAATTTCTTGTATACATATGATGTTCTAAAGTATAATTTCTGTACTGATAAAACCATGTTAAATAAAATTTACTCAAAAAACTTCTTTAATCAACACTGCAATAGCATCGGAACTTCGGCACTCTCAGTTAGTAATTCCTCTATTTCTTGGGAAAATTTTCCTACTACAGAAGCCAGACTACCCCAACTACAAACTGACATTTTTACCAGCATTACGAGTAGGGACTGTCAGACTCATGTTCTTTCCCTTGCTTACTATTGGGTATCACAGGCATTACTAGACAAAGTGACTTATTTGATCAACGGTTACAAGATATACAGTGGTGATCCTCACAAGTAATGCCATTCCCTTCGTCTCATGCTTTACAGCGTAACCCTGAAGAGAGACGGTTAGCACTACCTTACATATGACTTCTAAAATTCTCGTTCTGCACGACTGTCTTTCACAATCATGATAAGATTTTAGAATTTCTCAATTTCCAGAGAGTATCAAAAGCATATAGTGCACCGGACTAGGCATCTTTATGATTTATTAAAAATAATTCGGTGTGGAGCTGAGCTTAGAACAAAGTACGCGATTCTAATTCGTAGCACTACATAGTCTGCAGATCATAGTGATAATATATACAACACAAAAAACTTAATTAACTTCAAAAGGCCTGCCAATTTTATGTCTTTCCTTGCCAGACAAATTTAATTCATTTCGTAAAATTTCCCTTTCGTTCATATTGTTCTTCCTCCGTCGTTTCAAATCTTTGCCAGCTTGCACAAATAAAAACACATTTATTGCCATTATAAGAGCACAAGCAGTCATGACTTTACGAAGCTGTTCGTGTGCCTTGTTTGTCTAGAAAAACTGGAAGTAACCTGATGCTTAGTTAAGGATCACAGCAGTTAAAACTTTGTTGAAGTCTATAACACGTCATTTCATTATATTAAAATAAATCAGATTTGACATTTTAATACAAAACATACCTTCATATAATCACTTGTATTACACCACAACACCTCCCGACCTTTAATATCACCTCGATGTGTGATTTTTTCCAGTTCAATTATTTTCTTCTGAATTCTGAAATGAATCAACCTTGTTCTCGAAAAATTAGTTACGAAACAATTTCTACAAACGAAGGCACGAAAATCAAGGATGAAAACTTAAACATCTTACACTTCTGACTGATTACTAATACCAGATGGTTTCATGATGTTTTGTTGTCCATGTACAATATGGCGTGCTCGTTTTGTTTGAACGACACCAACACGACCTTTTAACAATCCAAGCATCTTCAATAATAAAGCATTCGTTGAATAACTTCAAATCAGATTTGAGATCAAAAATGGACAACAAAACAGTAGGAGTCTAACTACAAAGACTAATCACAACTTCCGATTCAAATTTAAGTAGTACTAATTAAGTTACTTAATGTGTACATTGAAAATCGAAGAAACTAATGAAAATATAAAATCCCATGAAAGCGACAATATTTTACCTGGTAACACAACTTTGGCTAGTTTTTTTCATTGTGACTGCTAAGTAATGTAATGATTTATTGAGCAATGGATTTCAAATTGTAACACTGTTTGTTTCTTGCAACATTTTAAATTTAGTCGTTAAGTTTGAAATATGTTTAAGTTGTTATGAGAAAAAAGGAATTCGCATTGCTCACAACAGCAAGGGGAGCCTTATCAGAGTATGCTTCAGGTTCTAGTTTATGCTTATTTTTCATCTTTTCTCTGTGATTAGTAGACTTTTTGAAATAATTATTGATTATAATGATTAATTTCAGATAATTTGAATGGGTGATAGTCGAAGACTCTTCGAATATTTTGTTATTGTTGGTTTGGAAGATGGTGCTGAAGATCTAGTACCTACCGCTCAGGAATGTGGTTGTCGGAATTCCGTTCCTTTAGCTCCTATTACTGATATTTGTGTGATTTTTCCGGGTTTGGGTGAAACGGTATTTTTTTATTTACTGAATTCTGACGGTTTTATAATAAGGAGCAAAAACGTATAAAATCGTAACTGAGGAGAGCATAAGTTGTATATAATTTCAATAAGACTGTTTTGTAGGTTCCGGATGGATTTGAACGTATTACAAGTACACCGATGGGATATGCAGCAGATCTCAACCATGGTTCACTGCGGACGCCCTCTGTCTTTTTATGCTTCCGACGTGGGTACCACAAGCCACCTTTGGTCGATATTGGTTAGTTTCTTATGTTCACTGAAATTACTTTTTATGAATTTCAATGAATGTATTATTTTGGCATTGATTTGTTGAAATAAGTGGATCTACATATTTAGGTGTGTTAGATGAAGGTCGTGGAGAAAAACCCATGCTTGACTCGAACACTGTGCTTACCACTCCTTTCGGTCGTTCTGCTAATGTCAACAACGCGTCACCAGGTATTTCTCAGTTTATTAATGATGTTTAATAAATGTTCTTGATTCAAATTTTCGTAAAGTTGTTCTTGGTAAACATGTAAAATCCAGATTTCAATAATTAGAAAGACTGTTTGCTGTAGGTGTTTTCTTGACATATCGACGTGCACAGGCCAACAGTGCTCCAAGTCAACTTGTTGTCACTCATATTTGCGTGATTTTAGCAAACAAAGGCGAAGCTGCTCCTCATACGTACTATAAAATTCCAAAAAATTTAAACAAGGTTAAATCAAAAATTAAAAAAGTTTTGGGTGTAAGCAATAAATCAAAATTGCGAGGTGCAAGAACCTAAAATATTGCAAGATATTGGTGCTTTTTATGCTATGTGGTCTACTTTTATCATATTTGTCAAATTACTTATTCTTGATTGATTGACTTAATAGTTTTATTGATAGCATCAGTAACTTTCAAAGCTACTGATATCTAGAACTAAAGCGACAAATAAAAATTATGAATATCACGGTTTTACAATTAGTGCGAAGAATAATTTTAAAATTCCAGGGTATGGTTGGCTCAGATGTGTTTTTATGCTATAAGAAGTCGCAAGGAACATCAAAACGAATAGCTTACAAACCGGTGGTTTTGGATCACTTTCCTTCAGATAATAAATTTACATTAGCACAAAATATACCAATGTTCTGTCTACCAATGGGTGCTCTGATTGAGTGCTGGCCAGCTCGATGTCAACCACCAGACAAATCATTTTCTACTTTTGTTTTGACTGATCAGGTTTTCCTTTTTGTCCTTCTTTCTTAAATTATTTGGCAATTAAGTGTGACTGGAATTTTCTTCCTGAGCAATTCCGTTATTCACTGTTGTAACAGCTCTAAAAAATTGCTAGTAACTATTAATTCCTTGAATTGTTTCATAATTTTGCGCTCAGCATTCATTAACATTTAAAGGAAAAATTGTAATGACCTCATTGAATCTTTGTCTTGATATTCAGGATGGAAGTAAATTGTACGGGTCTTCTGTTACTTTTTACGAACCGTACAGGAAACCTCTCAGTCTAGAGCAAATGGAGAAATTGGAATTAGTAACTGAAATGGTAACGTGTGGAACGGTAGAAGACGCTTCAAATACTAACGATCCTGCTGAACAGGTGTTGTGTAATCTTTTTTGTTTCAAAGTTATTAAAATTTTAATTTTTTACTAAATATTCATTAAATGTTTAGATGACATTCCACAGTAACATGTCAATTTGCATTATATCGAGATATCCATTTTTTAATGCATTCAAGCGATTTTTATATTACTTGCATCGCATGTCGTTGTCGGGTACACACTCTGTCCCCCTGGAACGCTACATTTCTCATCTTGTAAGTTCTTTGCCAATCTAATTAGTTCTTCTGTTGTCAGTGTTATTATCTGTATTAAATTCATTAAGCATAAATTTTCGTTAAAATTTTTTCAGGTTTGAAAATTAAATTGTCATTTTTTATGCTCAATTTATGGATGTTGTGCTTGTGCTACTGTTTTTGTTAATTTTTATGATTATTATACTAAAACGAGTAACCATTCTCAAAGTGAAAAAGAAAAAATAAGCAAATCTTATGCCTATAGTTGATAGTGAGATGCCGTTATGTTAAGATTTTCCTTAATTTATTTAAAACTCATGGGAATAACTCATCATTTTGTTCATTTCAGCTATATGAAGTATCGTTTCCTTCACCACGGTGCCCACGTGTGTTGGTTCAGCTGGGTAATGAAACTATTTCTTTCGAAAGCCATGATGATTCGCAGTTGCCTCTTTCTGGTGCCGCGTTTTTCGACACACTGAAGTGTTTAGGACCAGAAAATCTCATGTATTATTAGTATCTTATTTAAATATTTTCCTTTTTTGAGATTTGGGTCTTGCCAATAGAACTTGGCACTTATTTAATGCTGATCACAATAGAATATTGGGACCTACTTGCAATTCGAATTTAGGTATCTAATGTTGCTTGCATTGCTGGAACAGAAAATATTGGTTCATTCGTTACGTCCATGGCTACTTACAGCAGTTGCAGAAAGCGTTTGCGCTTTAATGTTTCCATTCCACTGGCAGTGCCCATACATTCCACAGTGTCCGCTATCACTAGCTGGTGTCCTTCATGCTCCACTTCCATTTATCGCAGGTGTCGATTCTAGGTAAATCGGTTTAATAAGTGGTGATTAAAACACATAATGAGCATTTTCTCGGAAATACAATTTCTAGAGCTAGAAATTTACAGTATCAATTAATTATAAATTCCTAGTTTTAAAAATTTAAATTTGTTCAAATGTTTTGGTTCAGTTTGCTGTACTTTGTTTCCAGGTATTTTGATCTTTATGAAGACCCACCTTCCGATGTCACTTGTTTTGATCTTGATACTTCGACTATCAGCTTTTCTTCTGTTCGACAAACGCTAAGGCTTAGCATGCTTCCTAAGGTTGAATATTGTTTGTAATTGTTACTAGTTTTGAATTCGTTTCACAGTTTTGATATTCGAAAATGTTGAAAATTTTTTGAGATTTGGTAACTTATTTTAGAAAGCTTCGCGGCAGCTTAAAAGCACTCTTGAAAAGCTTCATAGACGACTTTACCAAGAAGAATTCAATGTGATTACTTTGCGAAAGAATATGGATTTCATGCCTCTAGACATTGATTATGATATACAGCGAAAAAAAAGAATGCTTGAAATTAATGTTCAGGAAGCTTTTTTAAGGTAATACTTTTCCCTTTACGAAAAGTTTACCATATTATTTGCATAGATATTAGATGAATTCAGTCTTCTATATAAAAAATTTAATTTATTACAAATTACCGTAATTTTCTCTTTCAGATTTATGGCTTCATTAATGCAGGGATATACTGCATTTCTTAGACCTATTCGTTGTGCTCCTCGTTGCGTTGGAGCTACGGATACTGGCTCTCTTTTTGATTTAGATGCCTTTCTTCGATCTCGTGATAAGTAAATATTTTTTTCGGCATATGATGCAAATATTAATCGTAAAATGTATCAGTTTGAAGTGATGCAACATTTTTTCGTCGTAAAGGGAAATATTAAGAAGGGTTTCAGGTCTTCGTTAGAATTCTTTAAACGCTTCAGTGAAACACAATCGTTCAACCGTTTTATTGAGGAGCGTTCATTTATTTCTGACAAAAATACTTTTAATGCCTTCTTTGATGATTGCATTGCTAAAATTTCTCAAAGTGGTAACTGTTTCAGTTATTTTATTATATAATTATAGGTTTCTGTCAGTTTAAAAAAATGTGAAAAAGAATGAAATCGCAGAACTGCAGTGTAGTTCAAGTTACTTTTTCCTTGAGTTTTAGAGATTAAATTTTTGCTTGATAAACGCAATCATCTTTCAGATGATCGTTCTTGGAATGATTCTCTAGTGGAATATGAAGTGTCCGCAAGTTGTCAAACGGAATTCGTACCGCCTCCAGAGGCGATCATCAATTCACAGGATCAAGAAGTGGCTTATAAATATGATTATTTTCCACGACATCTTCAGTCAGCATTGTTTCAGCTTGAACATCTACGCAAAATGAGCTCAGAAATAAAAAGCACAGTGGCTAGCAGCGGTGAGTAGTAACAAATTTGTTGTTACTTGCTCTTTCAGGCAATGAAAACCTTTCATTTTTGTAGTGTTGTAGAATTCTATTTCTTGCTTAGATGGTTTGGAAAATGCCTTGATTCGTACGAAACAAGAAGCTCGGGGTGCCATTGAAACAGCTATCTTAAATGCACGACATTCACCTGTTACTTGGCCAAAGACGTTACTTTTTTATGCATATTCAGTCTGGTTCATGTTATTGCCTTCACTTATTCATCTTGCGAAATCGAAAATAAAAATTTTGCGGCTCGCACTTCATGTGAGTTACCTTAATCACTGCAGTTTATTGTAATAGTTACTTGTGTATATTCGGAATTATGGATTGTTTCATTTATATTTTTGGTTGCTGAAAAATACCATCGCTTTCTTCTACATTTTTATCAAATACAACTTTCACACATATTTTCCTCCACAGTTTTGTATTGTGCTGATTTGCAATATACTTTTTCCAGGTTCTTTTATTTCACGAAATCACAATTATCAAACAATTTTAGATATTAGATCGAATGGAATATTCAGGTGTTTTACCACTTGATCAAGTATGTTATCGCATTGTGATTCAATTGTGTGGCGATTTCGGGCATCCTATTCTTGCTGTCAAAGTTTTGCAAGCAATGCAGGTGTTGTCTTCAAATTTTTATCATTTCAAAATCAGTTTTAAGTCTGAAGATCTTCAGTTTAGTATGAAATTTATAGAGAAGCGGTATGGAACAGAATGCCGTAACCTATGGCATATATCATCAAGCTGTTTTGAAAGGTGGTTGGCCAGTAGGAGATCAGATCGAAGCAGTGAAGGCTTGGAATCGTTTAGCTATCGTAATACGCGCTACTTCATTATTTAAAATGAATCTGTCACTTGCTTCACGTCGTCGTTCTTTACAGCCCGATTCAGTGAGTTCATCCTCTTTTAGTTGCAGAAATACGTTGATTTCTAATAAATATATTACCAGCTTTTTCTAGTCATCGTCTGCTGAAAACCGTTCGTTCAATGAGAGTAGTTCGTATGATGGTACGATGAGGGAAGATGAGCAAGATGAAATCGCTGAAGAGGTAGTTCGACATTTGTATCTTTTAAATCTTATAATTACCACGTTTTACTTGAAAAAAAGGATTTTAGTCACTAAAACTTTTATATATTCTTCTGTGAAGCTATGATATGCTGCAGGACTTTATTAGTATGTCCAATTTCATTAAACATAATTTTAATCAAATTTGAATGTACCTCACTGCATATTGAAAGATCACACTGTAAGTTTCTCATTATGATCAAAACTTTTAAATGTAACTTGTTCATTTTGAGGATATTTTTTCAGTCTACTTCGGTAGTCGAAAATTATTCAAGTGATTTGATGGATCCACTGGGTGCTTTGAGTGCATCGCATAATTTATCAGTGGCACTACCAAAACAAACTACTGAAACAATGAGTCCAAGTCGTGCACGGTTTATAAAAGAACATAGTGTGTCTCCATTTGCTAATGAGGTTTTCATTTTTAAATGTTTTTTGAAACATCACGAAATAAGAAAAGATCGTAGTTTGCAGTTGGACTTTATCATTGTCAGTTATTCATAAAAGACAAATGGCATAACAGGTGAAACAGAGCATTTGTAATTTAATTGTTGATAATGTGATGCAGATGCTTGGTTTATGGTATGTATATTACATATACTTTATTCACTGAATAAAATACATTGTAGCTACAGCATGATGAAATGGTAGAGGTGAAATTGAGTGAAAAACCAAACTCTTGGCTTCGAGGTTTGACAAACAGCCCTATTGTTAGCAAGCTTATGCGCAGTAGTACTGCAGGTATGTCTTATGAAAGGTGTTTGTAATGTATCAAAATATTACTAAATTTTACTCGCTTTGTTATTTTGTTGCATTTTACGTTTTATGGAATTTTTATGTTGCATAGTTTTGAAATCCTTTCATTTTCAAATAAGTACATTGTTTCAAGTAAATAATTATCATGTTTTAATACGCCAGTAAATGGTAAAGAAATTAAGGAAATTTCGATTCTCCTTTTGACAAAAATGATACTTCGCTCACACTATCACCAAGTTTGGCATCTTTGGTTAATCAAATGAAAAAAGGTTATGACGATGTACTGCAAGCTGGAAATCTGTCATCACGTCTTCGCGAAGGAGTGAACTCCTTGGTGAATGAAGTACGCAGTTTAAATCGTTCGTACGCAAAGGATGGAAGCGAAAGTACTCATAGCTCGCAGCGTGAAACCAATGAGCAGCCAGACCAAGTTTGATCTTTTTTTAATTTCTAGCTTAATTTTTCTTTTTTTAATTTCTTGTTTTTCCTTATATTAATTATTTATCATTTATTTTGCTATCGTAACCATTTAAAGAATTTCTTGCTTAGTTATATTAAAAGTCCAGTGTATTAAAGTTGTGCGAATATGTCATTAATTTTCAGCAGCTACATTTAAGTGACCCATTATTTCAACTGGATACGGGTTCACATTGCTCCCTTCTTTCATCAGACTGGTGGTTAGAGGATCAGATTTTTGCTTCTGCTTCAACTCCAAATGAACTTATTGATGTCGCGATCTCTTCAGCTTCTCTCTGCCCAGCATGCAAAATGGTCTTTTGATTTATATGATGCTATTTTATAGTCAATTAAATTTTAACAGTTTTCTTAGACTGTATCAATATTTTGGTTGATTCTGTGTGAATGCTTTGGTGAGGTAGAGATTTTTTCCAAAATATGTGTTGCTTGTACAGTTTTTTGATACTTTATAGAATTCACTACTGTAGGTTGTGTATGATGAGGACTTGATGTCTGGATGGTCAGTTGATGAATCAAATTTAAATACGAGTTGTGTTTATTGTGATTGCGCTTTTGTTCCTTCGCTGACTATTAAAATTTGCTCTCGAGAAGTGCCAGTGGAGAGCAGTTGGTATTTGCCATCATCGTTTGGTGTTGGTGCATCTAGTGATAATGCTTCACATTGCAATGGTGATAAGGAATTTGTAGACAGTCAATTATCAGTAAGTTTTATCAAAGTTTTCTTTAAACTTTTAAAATTTCGCTTTGAAAGTTCGTTATTCTTAAACTTATTAATTTTTTTCAGGTTCCGTTTTTAAGTCCACTTGTTTTACGTCGCGAGTTGGAAAATTTATTAACTGGGAATTGTTTGCTTCCTGTACATTCATCTTTAAGACACTCAAATCCTATCGTTTTTTGGAATGTTCTTTATTATTCTCGTCGCTTATCTTTACCTACACATTTTCCTAGCTGGATTGGTCAGTCAGTTCATGTGCGTTGTGTCTATGACGTACCCGTCCTACATACAGATTGCACTCCTCTATTTTTTGTAAACCCATCGTATAAGGTTTGTAATTTATAGGTGATAAAAAAATGGAGAGGCTTATTTATACGAAAAATGTTTATCTTCCTTACTGAAAGTGATTGAAATAGAAATCAAAAAAGAAATTATTGATTATTTAGTTGAAGTGTATCGGGAATTAGTTTTTAGAATGGTATATTACCAACTAGTGAGCGTAATGTCAGCATTTGGCGACATGTTGTAACAGCTTTACAGCAGTCTAGCATTCTTCGTGCATTACAAGCTATTCTGTCCGAAAATCGTAATGCTGTAGATAATGGCAAATTTCCTCGTCGATTTCCATTATTTAGGTATGAAACTTAATTTAGTATTACTACTTTTTCATACACTTAAACGTAAAATTTATTCTTTTCTGTATAAAAAATCACAATCTTGTGATTATTGACTTATTTGATTACAGTAATTTTTTGACTCGATTAATTTGTGATAGACTGTGAACAGTAATTTGCTATTTGGAAAAACCAGAAATTGCGAATATTCATGATGTGGAGGGTCATCTTTTCATCTTATTTGCGTGTTTAGGATTGCAAATGATTACAACAGTTGTTTATAAAATTTTCACTAGTTTCTGATTACTTCATCTAATAGTAATGATTATTTCTATAATTCCTCGGAGTTGACAGTTTTATGCATATTTCTTGATATTCTTATGGTATCGGGATTCCTAAAGCTATTGTATTAACGTTGCCGAACTGATTGCAGAAGATTGGGAATAATAATATAGAATTTTTAACAAAAATAATATTCTCTAAAAGAAATAAAAAAATGAAAATAATTTAATGGCCAAATGCTTTTCATCACAGTTATATTAAGAATATTATTTTTGTTAGATTTTTCGAGCTTTTGTAATGAAGTATTTCATTGTTTCAAGCAATTTTTTTCAGAGATGTTCAATTTGTGGCATTGGACAAGTTTGGTAGCGCAGTTGATCGAGATCAACTGGATGAACAGTATCGTTCTGATTTCGAACGACTTCCTCCTCGGATTTTGCCAATGCTGCCTTGTTCCGACTATCCTCCTAAAAGCCTTTCCAGGATATGCCGAAAAATTTTTCTCCCGCTTGATGTGTTTTAGTGTTAATTCTGTGTTTGTATCTTCTCCTCAATTGTTTCCATTTTAACTTGATTTTTCGCGTAACTAATGATCATCACATTTTGCATTTATTTTAAAGTCATCTATTACTGCATGTTGAATGTTGCGGGTCAGTACTAAAAAAAGAAGAGTTTACAATTACCATTAATGGTAGAAATGTACAAAAGTGATTTGTTCGTTAAATCTTTTCTGAAGAAAATCAAATGGGATTAGTCTTATGATTATTTAGTGTTTTCAAAAAAAAATAAATAAATTATATTATGATGTTAATGGAAAGGAATGTTTCCTATAATATCTAAACGATTATCACAGAAGAAGATTTGAGTGTATTATTTTCGTCTTCTGGCTTAAAGTTGCAAAAATGCTCCTCAAATATGGATTCGTGAACTAGGTTTAGTGGAAGGGGACTAGTGAATGGTGGTTGTGGAATGACTACTCGTATACTGTATATAGGTTACGTTCAATAGATCCATGAATTTGAAGTGTTATTGAAAATTTCTTGGAAGAATTACGAAATGGTACGTAGCGTCAGTTGTTTCGTCATGAACATCAACTTTTTTCTAACCTTGCAAGATTTCTCTACTTGTTTTTGCAGAATGAAGTTAATTCGAAAATACTTTCAAATTATATCTCACGCTTGAAGTACAGCTTGGAATATATTAATTATTAGTGGTGTATGAACGGCATATATGCCATAACTAGAATTACTAATAAATATAGTTCTTTTTTTTGTTCATCCTCTTTTAACTTCGTAGTGGACTACAGTAGTATTGTTTCGGCCTTTTCAACCAAGCTAAATGAATACATGGAGTTGAAACATAGTTTCATAAACTATCTATATTTGCCACTTAATATGATTGGAACTGCAATTAAAATGTTGTTCAAGTCATATCTTGCTCTACAGAATGGTATATTCCATTCTGGAAAACAAGTATCTGAAATTCTAGAAAGAGTTTTCAGCTAGCTATAGTCAAAAATTTTTTAAATTTTCTCAAAGTTTTAACTTGAGCTGTTTTCAAAAAAAATATAGCATTAGACGATCACACATCATAGATGGTTTTGAAAAATGGAAAATGCTAAAAAAATTTTATACTTCCATTTGAACAGTTCTAACAAACTTTGCATTTCATTCTCTATTGAAAAGTTTGTTCTTAATGACTGAAAAATAGTAAAAAGAAATACGGCTGTATCTCAGTGTTTTAAGTAACATATGAATGAGAATCAATGTATTGGGATAAATGTAAAATATATTTTGTATCACCTGCGCGTGAGCACTACCTAAATATGACATGGCTTCAGTATACAAATGTGAATTAAACTATGTTTCGTAAAATTACGTAAAATTTGTTACTGATAAATGTGGATCTCAGTTATAACATACAATTAGAGGAGACAAAATTTGGTTTGTTTTCCAAAATTTGCGGTGTAAAGATTTGTGGTTCACAAACTCTTATTAGTGAACTTCATAGGATTAAAAATGATTTGTGAAGCCAGCCAGATTCCTTATTGATCAGGAAGGTTTTAAGCTGTCAAGTTCTTTTTTCGGTAATAAATTTGTAGGATCTATAAGATTTGTAAAAATAACAGAACAATTTTGAATTATTGTATCTTAAAGACGTTGAAATGAGTATTTCATGTTAAATAACAATAATTTTTTCCGAAACATATTGGTATTGTGTATCGAATTAAAAGCAATGGGTGTTATATAATATGGCTACTATATCGAATATGCACTGTTTCAATAAATTTTTGTGTGATTCAGATTCATAGTGATGAAAAAAGAAAGAATATCTTCGATAGCAGTGCTTTTTCTTATAGTTGGGTTTGAAATTTGAAAATTATTATCTTGAGTTTAATAAATATTCAGTGGGTGGCAGATAAAAAACCACAAGTTGACCTTTCTTTACTCGGGCTATTAACTGATAACATTTCATGATACAGGCATTATTCATGATAAATGAGTCTTAATTAGTAGCGAATGTAAAATAGTCAAAAAGAGTATGAAAAGCTTGTAGTGCATTTTACTGCAATTTTCACGTCTTATTTTCAGCATGTTTTTGATGAAAACGTTATAAATATATGCTGTACACAGTAATTTAATCATTGAAAATT